TGCTGTAGTGACTATACTGAGGCTCAAACATAAGGATAACTGAGAACGACACAAGACCAGACAGTGTTTCATTCTGTTGTACACCGGATCACCATGAGTTGCAACTACTCGACAGGACCTAACAACAACAACATGACAAACTGTTCACTTAACATTTGCACGGTGTGTCAAAATCCTCTTAATTGCATTCTGGTGTCCAGTACACTAGAGTCCCAACCCTTATCTTCTCATCTTTGCTTTAGAGTAATTAGGAAAGAAGCCAGTCATGAAAGACTATATATTATACAATTCCATTTTTATGAAATGCCCCGAACAGGCAAATCTATAAATATAGAAGGTAGATTGGTGGTTCCCAGAGATGAAATGTTTGAGGGGAAACAGGAAGTGACTACTTAAAAAGGCATATTCGCAGTGATGAAAATGTCCTAAAATTCATAGAGAGCAATTGCACTTCTTTGTGAAGAAGTAGTGGTTTCACATTGGACTTCAATTTGCAAGTTCAGCTATTTGAAACCACCAGCTCCTCAGAAGGAGAAAGGCCGGGCTTTCTGCTCTTGTTAAGAGTTAGTTTTGGAAACTCACGGGGGGCAGTTCTACCCTATCCTATAGTGTCACTATGAGTCAGCATCAATGTGATGTCAGTGAGATTTTTTGTTTGGTGAATATAATTTTAAAAACACCAAAACATTGAACTATATGTCATAAGTAGGTGACTTTTATGGAGTATAAATTATACCTCAATAAGGAAAAAAATTATATCTCAATAAGGAAGTATTTTGATAAAAAAAAAACAAGGAACTTTTGATTTATTAGTTCTAGACTAATGAACGCTGTGGTAGTTACATAAACTACTGTCAACTTGCAAAGGAGTCTAGCTTGTTAATCAGGTTGCAGCTTGATGATCTCATTTGGAAACGCAATGGAGATAAATAGCTCACTAGAGACCAGATACACTCACATTCCTGATGGCAAGCCACATTTAGCTACACTGATGGAGCAAAAGCCTTGGAGCTGGAGGAGCCAAGTGGAGATCCACACCAGCAGAGATGCTTCCACCACCACTGGATCCACAAAACTTTCCACCCACTGGCCTGTGATCTTCCTGCATTCAGCATCATTGCAAGGCTGTGTGAGTCTAAAGAGGATTTATGGACTAGTATCGACATATGGGGTAATATCGGACTTATGGACTTGATATGGACTTGTCTGGGATGTTTTCTTAATGTACGATTGCTTGTCGCTATAAAGTTCTCTCTGACACACATAAAAGTGTCTATGAATTTATTTCTCTAGTCAACCTGGATTAACACAAAAATACACTAATATTTATACATTTTATGAATTGTTTATAAGCATTAATTTCATAATAAAATATTTGTTAATTCTATACTGCTAGTGTCCTTTGGAAGTTGGTATTTTATTAAGACTTTTAGGGGTTTTGTTAACCTAAGAAATCTAGCAAAGTCACAGGCCTTTGCCCCAAGATGCAGGAAAGTGATGCGGATGTGTCAATGACCCTCCTGATTTGCAGAACTGCCTGACAAGAATGAATACTACTTATGAAAACAATGAGCTCAACAACATTTCTCACAGAGCAAATAATTAAAGCTGTAAATCAAAATAGATGCTGTGCAGTTGGAGCCCTGACGGCACTGCTAGCCACAGATCAGCTGTCCAAATCCCCAGCTGCCTTGCAGGAGAAAGATGAGGCTGTCTGTTCTTGTGAAGACTCATAAGCCTCAGAATCTCTCTACAGGGTCACTATCAGTTACAATCAAAGGCATTAACTTTGGTCCTTGGGTTAGGAATCCCAGAATGGATTTACTTTGTTATGTTAATGAAGTCATATGGCTGTTGAGTGTGTCTTGAACTAATCTCTCTCTCTCTTTTTTTTTTTGAACTAATCTCTTTTGAGATATTAAAGGATCAGTTTAAGCAAGCAGAGATGGGAGAGGATAGATGGCATGTCACATGAAGATCACCCAGGAGTCAAGGAGAAGAGGCTGAGAAGAGATGAGGACCTTTCCCAATCAAAAGAGAAAGGGAAAACTTCCCTCAATAGCTGACTTCAAGCCCTCGACCTGTAAGAACATAAATGCGTTTGTGTTAGAATTTATGTCGTAGGACAGACTGAGAGACAGTCACTCACAGGAGACAGGTTTTGTGATAAACAGGATTTAGTAGAGTGCATTTGGCCTTATTTCTACACTTCACCCCCGGTCGGGAAAACTGGCCTTATTTTGAGAAAGATCACCGCTGTTCTGAGATAGAAATGCCTTAAAATACACGTTCTCCAGGTTGAAAACGTGCCCCCTGCAAAAGATCCCCATTGAAGAGCTGTTGTAAAGGAGCTACCCTAAAAGATGAATCATTGCTTCATCTGGCTATTCAGTATGCCTGACTCACCATAAAATGTAGCAAGCCATCATATGATGTGTCTTTCTGATACGGATCATAGATTGTTCCCCATGGGAAGGACTCAGGGGCATCTGAGGTCAACTAGCAGTAGGCCAAGATGATGACTCACTTCATTGCCTTTTTATTATATTGAGTGCTTAGGATATTACTCACTGACTATGTAATATGTTCGCTGTGTGTGCGTATGCCTTTTAAAAGATCTGTAAACTCTGTGATTATATAAATAGCCATTGGAAAATACATTTACTGTCTTGGTCCTGACGTAGGGACAAGGAGCCCCTACACCCTGCTTTGTTTATCTGTATCATTTTCCATAATCACAAAGACTCTCCTAAAGACCCATTCGACTATTGGAACCTGGACAAGGTTTATTAGAAGAAACCTGAGAGGGACCTCTGCCCTGAGTCAAAAGGCCTTCTCTGTACAGATTAGCAGGGTTTTATAGGGCGAATCAAGGGGAATTTGGGAGGGGTACATTTTTGGATGTAGATGTGTGGCTTGGCTAATTCCGGGACCCGGGACATTTGTGGGTGGGTGGAAATTACTGGACTGGATGTTTCTGAAGAGGAGTGTTTGTACAGTTTTCACAAGAAGTTTGGGGGGTGGGGGGTGGTGGCTTCTGGCTAGACATTATCCTTCAGTTTAAAGTCATCCACTTATGGTATTTTTGTTGTAACAGAACTAGATAACTCATACAGCAGCCATTAAAAATTACAAAAGGTGAGGAAGCTGTTAGTATAGTCTTGTTAACTCAGTTTCTGCTTATCTGTAGAATTACCTTGAGTCATGGTACCAAGCTTTGGTCAAACTCTGGGAGCTAAACCCTGAGCATGTTCACATTGTCACTGTTTAAAGAGGCTATTTTGTGCTTTCAGGACATTGAGACATTATGTACCAGATTTTTAACATTGCTTAACAGAAATATCAAGATTTATGATGTGCATATGCTACCTATTGTGGAGTCTACATTATGGCTGGTCACATAGAAGGAATGTGCTCATATGACTAGATTCCTATAACATCTCTTGGTTCTGAGACCTGAGCAGGCTCCCTAGTCAGAAGCATCCCAAAAATGTTCCCAGAGTTTGCAGTGGGACAGAAAACACTTTTCTACAGAGGTAGGACCTAGAAACCTACACCTGCTCTTTGTAGACTTAATGGCTCCTCTATCCATTTGTCTGTAAATCCCACCAAATGATTAGGTGGAACCATGCAAATAAGGAATAGAGGATTCTAACTTGAAGATTGGTCATTTGCACCATTCCTCTGTGTATAAGAGAGCCCCCATAGAGCAGAAACAGAATTCCTAGGACCATCAAGAAAGAAGACCCACTACCAGGGTATGTTTAAAATTCCTGATTGAAGTGGCAGAGGCCATGCCACACTGAGAGCAGAGGCCAAGGCAAGGAAACCATGAGACAGAGCAGAAGAGTAGTGCCCAGACTATGAGATGGTGAAGTTAAGTAGGGGGCAGACTTCCTTGTACAGGAAAGTAAAGGCAAACAGACCGTATGGCTGAG